GAAAAACGAAAGGAGACTGTGACCACACAAAAGGCGACACCATCTTGGTCTTCCTATCTTCGATTAAACTATGAAAGTAAGATTGCCAAAAAATGCACTGATTACAGCCGGACAAAGATTACAATTGTAAATCAATGCTGTCATTTGACCTTTTTGCATGGTTGCAAACATTATGGTATCGCTCGCCGATTCTGCAATCTAATGAGGAAGTCTCATTCGGGCACAGTTACTGGAATAATTTATTGTGCCTTTATTCCGAAATTAAAGGAAAGTTATGAGACTGAGAGGCGTAACCTATTTAAGTTCAGAGATATCAAGTCTAGATTAAGTAGGGATCTAGGTAGGGTTCTCACTTTAGATGATTTTCAAAAACTCCAGAGCATGACCGACCAGAAGCCACAGAGGGTCCGGGATCTGATAAAAAAGCCGCATGACAAGAAATTGCTTAGCTATGGGATAATAAGACAAATTGTTGGGCTTAATTTCATTTTAAGTAAAAGTTTTGGGTGAAGATATTCGAAGTTCGGTTCCGCCAGAAGACGACGGCGGATTCCTCTTGACCAGTTTTCGATTGGCCTTACTGGAACATTCATGCTGACGCTGTTTCCGAGGCAGTCTCCTTCGATTCCGGTGAAAAGGTGCTAAGCTTTCGTCTGTCACATGACGAACATTATCAGAGCAAGGAGCATCATCGTCACAGCCAAATTCAAGCTAACGAGTCAAGAAAACTTACAAGCAAATCCCTAAAATGTGGTATATATATACTCTACATATTGCCTCTTTTTATCTAGTATAAAGTGATTTGGTTAGTTACGGTCATATGTTAACCTTGATGCATGTGATTGTGTCTGTCTCTGTATGTGTATGTGCCGTTTGTGTTCACTTATGCACGAAACCCGTTGACTCGTTAGCTTGAATTGTGTTGTGATGAAGTTATCTCGCTCTGATGATATCCGTTATTTGACAGACCAAAGCCTAGCACCTTTTCACCTGAATCGAAGCAGATTGCCTCGGAAACAGCGTCAGCATGAATGCTCCAGTAAACCCAATCAACAGCTGGTCTAGAGGAATCTGCCGTGATCTTCTGGTGGAACCGACCTTTGAATCTCTTCACGCAACACTTCCACTTGAAATGGAAGTAAGCTCACAATAATGAGACAAGAGATTCTTCGAAACCAAACTTTTATTCGTATATAATAAGATAAAGCAAGACCTAGCTAACCCGGGCAAATTTTAATAGTTCTGTATTAAAGGTATGAACTGCTACAGAAGACGATAGAACTAAGGTAATAAACCTATCTTTAATCCCTTTTCATTCTGAAATTATGGATCTCTTAAAGAAGGGGTTACATTTTTACCTAGGTGACGAATGAAATGTTCTTAGTGAAATTCGGGTGGAAGTTGTCAACGTATCGGATAAATATCCAGAAGAGACAAAGCGGGAGATGGAAATGGAAATAATTCCATGGAACCGATACACAGGAGCAGATTGACTGGTATACGGAAAAAATACAAATGAATGATGAAATATTTCTTCAGGCGGATAAGGGAGGAACGACTCTTGTAATGGACAGTTAACAGTACACGAAGAAAATTAAAAGTATCCTAGATCAACGGGACACTGAAGCATATGCTAAAGAAAATGTATAATAATGGGGAAATTGATGATGATAAAAGCTTTAATCAAAGATGACACAGCCTACGGACTACCAAAAAGGAAATCCGCTAAGATTAAGAGTCAACAACAGACATGGAGCAAGACACAAGCTAGCAAAATGCATTTGCTTGAAGCTCAAGAAAATGAATGACAAACTCTCGAATACCGTCAAGAATTCATTTGAATTTTCTCAAAGGATCCAGAACATTGGGCTAAGAGGGACGGAACTGTTGGTGAGTTTCGATCTACAATCCATGTACACAAACATCTCAGGCAATAAAGCGGTAAGCGCCTGCAAGTGTCCATGGGCCCAAAAAACTGAACTCGCTGAATCTATGGCTGGACATACGGACACGCAATGGACTGGCTCAAAATACAGCGTATTGTAAGTTACAGGGACTTTACATCAAGGATTAATATCAGAGAAAACATCAAAACATAGAAAATAGCCAACATCCTGAATAAAGAAAACAACTCTATAAAATTTAATATAGGCCAGTTGTGACTGTTGGGTAGACTTAAACTGAAAAAGAGATTGTAAGAAAGAAGAAAACCTTAGAAAAAGAAAGAGGCTACAATGGTCTGAGTCTGGTTAGGAGTACCACACTTTTCACGACATAGACATTAATTTCCAAATACTAAAATATGAGTTACAATTAGAGGCCTTACCTTACTAGAAATTCACTTATGCCCTGAGACTCAAGGGTACTCGTGGCAGTGTAGCCAAGTGGTTAGCGTGTCAAGCTCCCATCCTGCACTGAAACGGTTCGACTCCCGCCCAGGGTGTTGATAAGACCAATGCGAAGTCGAAACTGCAGTCCACCCTGAATAAGAAAAATTTTGGAGAAAGCAAGGCTATGTGAAATTCAGTGGAAACGTCAGCTCAACTAATATCATTGTGGAAAATTTTAATATCAGTCCTTCATCACCTTAGACTAAATAAGGTGAATACATCCTATATTGTGAAAGTTGTTTAACTCAACTATGCTGAAGACAATTAACTGAATCTGCTATTAAAGAAGGTTGAGGGTTTTCCTGGATTTAATTTCTAATTCGCTAGGCACTGACGGCATCAACAAGAAACCGTCGGAACTTCTTAAACAAAAATATATCAAGTATTTTAGGTTTCCCAGAGGCTTTAACGATATTATTTTAATAATAATAATATATCTTTTTACTAAATAAATTTCAAGTAGCTGTTTTTGTAAAATGTAAATAGATATGTGAAAAATCACTTCGGCATTTTATTTAAAATCGAAAGAAGCTGTTCATCCGCCAAAAAATATGTAAATATTAAACATTCAAAATAGTGGTACAATTGTGTTCAAATAAATAAAATCTAGCTTTAAAACATATTAATCAAGGTATATAACGTTATCAGTCTACAATAATAAATAAGCTATCGAATGGATTTGTTTTTTTTGCTGTAATCCTTGCCGGCTTTTTACAATTCCCTTCACAATGATAAATCCGCATGTATCCTCCAAATATGTTGCTGGTCAAAAACGCTTTTCCCAATCCACAAATATTTCTAAGCCCGTAACAACAACAAGCGTTCCGGCTCCAAATAATAATTCTATTTTATCGCAGCAACCACCCGTCCTTCCTCAAGGATGGCGAAAGGAGGAGTTTATGAGACCCAACGGTCTCAGTACTGGTAAGACAGAAATTTACTACATCAGGTAAGGCTTGTCCACAAATTACTAAATTTTTAAAGTCCAAATGGTGCTAAGATCCGCACTAAACAAGGACTACAAGCG